TTTCTCTTTTCCACCAAAAACATTCTTGCCTCCCTAAAATCCATTCACCTAATGATTTAGCGTGACATTTTCACAATGTTAATGAGATTTTGAGTTTTCCTGCTTTGAACCCTGCAAAAGTTTACCACTGTGTTTTAGATAAAATTCCTAGTCCCCTCCAAGGACTTCTTACATGGTCCTTATGATCCTTAAATCTGTGATATAAATCTTAGGTAACCAGTTGTAGATAAAGAACTCTTCTGTTTGGCTTGACATTAAAGATTGATGATGCTTCACTAGGCAGTAGACACCCATTTTTGTGGTAATGATAAGAGCCAGGTTCCCAGTGGATATGAGAAAGTGAAATCACAGACTTGATAAACAATAAACTCAAGGCAAGCAAAGTGACAGCAGTACTGTCAAATATTAGATGATTACAAAAGGAAAAAAAACCTAGGACAAAAGAATTCAAAGATGCTTGAAATTATCAGCAGCAAATGACAGAAATGACTTTTGATAATGTTATGAACTATTTGATAATGATATATCAGTTAAGGCATTTGTTACCCTACATGACCTTCTAAAACAGCAGAAACAATGATACAAACTTTACAGCTGACATTCTTGATAATGTAGTCATACATATGATGACATATTTACCAAGTAGCTTTTCTTCACTAGTTTCAAAGATCATGAAAGTTTAAACTATGAAATCTAATAGTGTTCCCTGTCAGGACCTGGTAGGTAAAAGTTTTAAATGCAATAGAATAATTCTGATTTAAAAAAGAACAGTACATGAGTTAAAAACTCAAAATATCTGCCTCGACTTACCCAAACGGATCACCGACCACAAGGAACCCAATATCACTGATATCAGCATCCTTTAAAATGTTATCTGCTTCTTGTTCCACTTCTTCTCTATCAGCAAGAATCAATTTTCTTCCATAAAACTCTTCCTACAGATTTAAGTGTAATATCAAGATAGAGAGACAGCAGGTGACCATTTAACACACACACACATACACACACACACACACATATACCTTTGTCTTGGACTGGTGCATATGTTGGCAACCATCCAAACACAGATCATTCAATACAACTTATCAATGAGCCAGTACTCTATATCATGTTGCAATTAAACTCTGTCTTTGGGGCTGTCTTAATATCCCAAAGGAGGCAGACCTCTTAACATCTGAGGCCATTTGCATTTTAAATTTATTTCTAAATTTGGTTCTAAACGCCAGGCAGAATACTGCAGGATGAACACGGAATATACATACCCCACTTCAGAAACATGATATAATACAGAATAAATATATTAAACAATAAGTTTAAACAAACATGGTTTGTTTAGGTGCTTTAGGTTTTATTAAATTTTCAATGGGAAAACATATGGCATCCCAGCTAGAAAAAGAAAAAGGCAGCACCAATGAGAAACAATAGAAAATTAGCTGTTTACAGAGCCAGTGAACATTCTTACATTAATGCAGAAGATACTAATTTAAAACTATATTCCTTAGTCTCTGCTCAAAAGGCAGAGTTGTAGGAGCAATAAATGAATTCTAAATATGTAGGAAGTTTGCATACAAACTGCTGTGTGATTTAATTCCCTAGAGAATTAAATCCAGCAGAGTGAACTAGTAAGCTAGTAGTCATCTGACAGTGGTTACAGGCTACTATGCAAGATCATGAATCCTTTTTTTTTCATCTCAGCAGCCAATACAGAAAGGAGGACTGTAAATCTTATAACTGATATCCTAAGGAGTAATAAGTAATTCAAATGGAGTAAAAGTAGATACATAGGTAAATAATACTGTTTCTTACATATTGAGAACTTTGAGTGAGCTATTAAAAGTTACAAGGATTGCTGCAGTACAACTGTATCTGGTACTTAATAATTTCTGTCAAACAAATGAGTAAATGAACAGATTATTAAGCAGGGCAGGATCTAGCATTGACCATTTTGCTTGAATACTACCTTCTCTGTAGGTGTTCTGTGAAGTTCACTTTGTGTAGCTATTAACTATCTTTAAGAATACAGAGACACAATACAGTGTAGAGGTCAAGAGTGGCAGCCCTCAGCCAGGCACGGTGGCTCATGCTTGTAATACCAGCACTTTGGGAGGTGAAGGCGGGTAGATCACCTGAGGTCAGGAGTTCAAGACCAGCCTGGCCAACATGGTGAAACCTTGTCTCTACTAAAAGTACAAAAATTAGCCGAGTGTGTTAGCACACGCTTGTAATCCCAGCTACTCGGGAGGCTGAGACGGGAGAATCACTTGACCCCAGAAGGCAGAAGTTGCAGTGACCCGAGATCATGGCACTGCACTCCTGCCCAGGCAACAGACCAAGACTCCGTCTGAAAAAAATAAAAAGTGGCAGACCTCAACTCTCAAGACTGCTTTGGTTCATCTCCTGGCTCTATCACTCACTCACTCACTCCCTCGCTCACTCACTCACTCACTCACTGTCCGTATGAACTTGGGCAAGTTTGTTAACTTCTCTATGCCTGCAAAATGAACAGTAATTAGAAAATTAGAATGATAATCCTAATCTACATGTAAAGCATTTAAAACAGTACACAGTAACTGTTCTATAAATGTCAGTACTTATTATTGTGGAGGAACAGATATTCTAGCACCTTAAAGTATACATAATTTACTGTAGGTAAGGCTGCATCCAGCTTCAGGTCTTGACTCTATAAGTAATAACTCCAGGAGTTTTCTCTTTGGAAAAAAATACTTAAAAAAATTATAGCAACCAAAATCGACATTTAGCTAGCACTTAAAATGCACAAAGCACTTTCACATACATCACCTCAATAAAACACTACATCATCCTCCAACTGGTAATTCTCACTTGACAAATGAAGAAACTGAGGTTCAGAGAAGCTTGGAAATGTAACCATGGACAATTTCTATTTCCTAACACTTTTGTGCCACATATGATAGCTAAGAATCTATGCTAAGAACTATGCTAAACACATAAAGTAGGTGTTTTTACCCCCATTTAAAAAAGACACTAAAGTTAAAAGACTTGTCCAAGGTCACATAAACATGTAACAAAGCAAAGATAAAATTGTATCCAAACTTTCCTCTATGCCATCCCCTGATATCTCCTTCTATCAAACTGCTGTTTTGTTATTTGTTTTCACTTTTCTTGATGGTGTTAAGTTCCTTCTACTTTTCCTTAGCACTGATAAGTGAAGCATATTTCCATCATTTTGAGCTTAGGTTTGGTTTTATCCTAAGAGTGACAAAAATGGGGAAACAAAAGTTTTTTCAAATCAAAGCTGGTCTTAGGCTGGGTGTGGTTGCTCATGCCTATAATCCCAGCACTTGAGGAGGCTGAGGCAGGCAGATCACGAGAGTCTAGGAATCCGTGATCAGCCTGGGCAACGTGGCAAAATGCTGTCTCTACCAAAAAATACGAAAAAGTTAGCTGGGCATGGTGGCACCCATCTGCAGTCTCAGCTACTCCGGAGGTTGAGATGAGAGAATACTTTAGCCCAGGAGGTTGAGGCTGCAGTGAGCCGTGATTGCACCACTGCACCCCAGCCTGGGCAACAGAGCAAGACTTACTTTCTCTCTCTCTCTACGTATATGTATATATCAAAGCTGGTCTTTACAAACAACTTTTATTTAAATGCATGGCCAATTCAAGTAGCAGTTCTTAATTCCCTCTTCAAGATTGTAAAGTAATCTGAGACCTAAATATTTTAAGTCAATTTTTTGTTTGGAAGACATGACAAAGACAATTCTAAAAATCTGCTCCTTCCTCCCATCACGTATCTATTAATCTTTTGATTTACCTTTTACTTAGTTTGACAATGAGCCTGAAGTTGACCCTTCCCCACAATTTACTGGGTCCTTATGAGGGCCAACTAAATGTATAACACACTAACACTCTGGCTACTTAGTGTATACTCATACATATAAGTGTATACTCATACACTTGTATATATTAAGTCTAGGCTCACTCAATATATACAACTGTATCAGTATAATCCTTATTGGGAGATAGTGTATTTAAAGTAAGATCTCTCTGGATATGATACAAAAAGGCAATCACCATTCCCTATGGAAATACTTCAAAGGGGGAAGCTTTCAGCTTGGTTCTTGAATATATAACCAACTCATTAAGGCTGTGTCAGCACCTCATTAGCACTCAACTCAGAAAGGATTTCTTGACTACCTCATGAAATATGGGGTTTTGATAACTACCCCCCAAGGGTATAAAATAACTTTCCTATTTACTGGATAAAGCCACAAAATTAGACTTGTAAAGTAGGACAAATCACCCTTTCATTTTCCAAGTCAGTCGGTTGGTGTGTAATTTCCCTTCTTCTACTCCTCAGATCATTAATGAACAAGCGAATGCGTTTCAATGGGTTTAAACAAGCAGACCTGAAAATTCTGTTCAGCTTAGTGTATGAAAATCAGATGTTAGAGAGCTTTCTTCCCAAGAGGCTGAGGGACGCTCAGCACCTACCAAGGCTTCCTTCCCTACAGTCAGGATTGAGGTGTAGGTTTCCAGATACACACGACTGCAGCGTCTAACAACTTCCAGGCCCTTGACCGTGATGTCCTTGGCATCTCCCAGGCCCAAGCCGATGAGATAAAGCATTTCAAACGTCAGGAGGAGGGAGACTGCAGGACGAAGTGGACAGAACAAGTCAGTTACACCGAGGACACCTAAGATCTAGTGATGAACACGAAGATCACAACCAAAGTAGCACTAGAGAAGCGGCAAGTCACAGGGAGCGGTTTGGGAACCTTATGTCACGCTTAAGAACTGGGATAAGAGGTTTTAAAACAACCCTACCAGTTCTGCCGCTTGTTACACAAACCTAGGTGCAGCCAATTACCCGCTGAGACAATCGCATCTAGTTCCCTGACCTCGTCAAACTTCTAACTACTTTACCGCCTTTCCGCAGAAGAAACCGCCAAAGCGCCGGCTCCGCGCAGAGCGAGGACCCACGCCGCCGGCCTCACCTACGGTGCCGCAAAATGCTGGTGCCTTTACGGCACTTTACGACTAGCGGGAGGAGGACGGGCTCGCGGACTCCTGGGCTGCGGAGACCCGGGGGCGAAAGGTCAGTCAGCCAAGAGGAGTCCGTCGTGCGTCGCTTTCATAGTCTCAGGGAAAGGACCGGGCGTGCTCACGAGCCCCCTAACCCATGGCTTAAACATCCGCTTCCTAAGCCTGGGTAACTGCAGTAGCTCTTCACCAGAGAGGAGCCACGTGGGCGAGAGTTGGGAGAGGCCCTGCCCCCTACGCCTCCTCTCCTCGGGACGCAGGGACTGGGAGGGATTTCCCTGATTTGCCCGAGTGCGCAGATATTAATCCCCGCCTTCTCATCTTCCTGTAGTTCAACTAGGTGTCTCCCTGGTGAAGCGTCACATTGGCAAATCCAGCAGTGAGTGTCCTGATTTCCCAACAAGGTAATGACTCCTCGGGTTTGTCCCCAAGACCTTATGCTGAAGTGCCCCAGGGATGCTTCGGTCACCCTCAGTGTCAGGAATCCCAGACCCTCCTGTACCCAAAGAAGTGACCTTTAATAGTGCTCAGGGATTTCAGACCTCTCAAGTGCTTCTGCTGGGGGAATTCCTATAAAGCTGTTGGTTACATGTAATTATGAATAGCAAAGATTTGTTTTGACTGGAAATGCTCTTCCTAAGGTCACTAGTGACCTCATCCAAATTAAAAAGACAGCTGCCATTGCTTATCTTAGCAGGCAGTGTTGATTATTCAGAATTTTCCTGTTGCTTCCCCGACAATGCCCAACTCCGCTTCCTTGAACCTTGAATTATTTTTATTCCCAGGTTTCAACCACATTTTTGCACTTCCTGTCTATACACTTCACTCTGTGGCTGACTTTATCCCCACTCATTACATTGATCTGTTCCTCACACCACATATACACCCCCAAAAAACTCAAAATGGATCATAGATGTAAATGGAAAACCTAAACCTATACCAGAAGCAAACATAGGAGGAACTATTTGTGACCTTATTTAGGCAAACATTTCTTAGAAGATTTCTTAGACCAAAAGCATGATGAAAAAAAATTGATAAATTGGACTTCAACAAACTAAAAATTTGTGCTCTTAAAAAGACTGTTGAAGCCACAGGCTGAGAAAATATTTGCAAAGCATATATCAGATGAAGGACTTGTATGGAGAATATATAAAAAATAATAAGAAAACATCTCCGTGTTTAAAAATGGGCAAAAGATTTGAATACACACCAAAGAAGACACACAAATAATAAGTAAGCATTTTAAAAGATGATAAACAAAACAAGAAAGATCCTAAACATCATTGGACATTAGGGAAATAAAAATTTAAATCACAATGAGCTACCACTACCCACCTATTAGAATGGCTTAAGTAAAACAGGCAAACAAAACCCCAGAAAAACTGGCTGTTCACTCAAAATTCCTAGTATCTTTAATATTTTGCAGATTCAAATTTCAACCTCCTATTCAGACTTTCTCCCTCTTGGCTTCATGTTAACTTTCTGCTGGAAATCTTTACCTAGGTGCATGGCGGCATTATTCAACACATCCAAGGTTGAATCCATCATCTTCCCTTTCAGCTTTGCTTTTCTTTCCATATTTACTTGGATGGAGGGGACAGTGGGTGAGGAAAGTACCGTCATCAACATATTAACCCCAGCCAGACACTTGGGAGTCATCCCCACATCTAATCTCTCTGTCATGTCTGCCTGTGTGTCTCAATGGAAACCATACCCTCTGTCACCATCTTGGTTCTCAGGTCCTCATTTTGTCACTCTTGTAGCTGATCATCATGTCTCCTTTACATTCATCCTTCACTCAAGGGGGCCAGGGAGTTATAGTTAATACACAATCTGAAAATATCACACCCCTTCTAGAATCTTTCTGAGGCCAAGAGAAATTTCAGGTGTATTAACTAACATACCCCACAAAATCATTCGTGGTGTGGCCACTACCGACTTTTATAGCCTCATCTCTCTCCACTCTATACCATGGGCTTTCTCTCCAGCAATACCAAATTGCTTATCATTCTCTGCCCACAACACCCTGCTTTGTTCTACTATGCTGCTGCTTCATCATGGAATACTGTCTCCTATTCTCTCCTGCCTAGATCATTAATACTCATTCTTTAAGACCAAGCTGAGGAACCCGTCCCAGAGACCCTCATCCCTCTAAGCTAATTTAGGTTTCCCCTCTTTATTACAGTGTTACTCTATGTATACTTACTGACCAATTTATGAGATTTTATATTTGTTCATTTGTATTTCTTCTTTACCAAATTATTGATTTTGTTAATTCAGGGACTTCGTCTTACTCATATTCTCATCTCTAAGGTTTAGCACTATTCCTTGCACATAGTAAATATTAAATAAATAATTATTTAATAAATCATTACCCACTAGTAGCTGGGTTATATATTTTTCCATCTTTATTAAATACGGAGGGTGGTATGTTTTAACTCACTACCAAAAAATCATTAATGGAATATCGAACATAAATATGCCTGTCTCATGATACTTTAGAAGGGCATTTGTATTGAAAGGCTTACAACACACGAAACATAAAGTTCATATGCACGCTATTGAATAGGTAAACAAACTTTCCTGTGTGTTGATTTTTATGTGTTTTTTTTGTTTTCAGATTTAAAAAAATAATAATTTCAGATAGATTAATAGTAAAGTGACAGTGCCAAAAAGGATGATTAAGTAGTCCAAAGAAGGTATGGTTTATATCCTTTTAGGAACTATATTTGTATTGAAAATAAAGTTATTCTGAGTAATCAAGGAGGTGAAACATTGTCTGAAATTACAGAAATAGTTTGCTTTTAAGCATCAAAATTTAGCCAAAGGAACTTAGTTTCACCACGTGGAATTCTTAACAAATGAACAAACCTTTCACCTGCCTTCATTTCTCACTAAGAGTGCAAATTTTTGTACTTTTCTGGAGGTAGGCAGATAAAGGGATTATGGTAATCTTTTTTTTTTTTTTTTAATCCTCCCCAGCTCAGCAGATGTAAGCTGCAAAAATCTTGCCTTTTTTTTTTTTTTTTGCAAAATTCTTCTGTGGGATTTGGACGTTTCTCCCTTGCCATTTAAAACAGGTTTCAAATGTGATTACATTTTCCCCAACAATTTATTGTGAAAATTTTCAAATATAAAGAAAAGAAATATATATATTTGAAATAGATATATTTCTTTTATAGTTGGCAGATTACAAAACATACCTAGGCATACAGCTGATTAAATGATACCATTGCTTCACCTAGTTTAGGCTGGGTTTGGAAAACGTTACTGTAAAATGGTTTCAAATTAGTTTTTAACAAATAACTGTAGTTTTATAATGATAGTGAAAGCACTTAGAGGACAAATTTATGTCAGCAAATTTGTAGTCTCCTGTCTAGCAGAAGGGAGAGTGATGGTTAACGAGAAGGGCGATTATAGGACAAAAGAAAAAAAGTTTTAGCTTTTTTTAGCTTAAAGAATAACATAGATAGATTAAGCCAGAAGAATTTTCTACTTTATACTCTTGCTTTCGGGTCAGATTGTAACTGGGTTTTTTATGGCTGCTTTTTAAAGAGACAGGACAGAAAACAAGTGAGAAGGGTTTAATATTTTCACTTACCCCTTTGAAGTGTTTCCCTTCTTACACTTCACTCCTTTTGCCCCATGTTGGGCACCAGTTTTGTAACCAGGGTTTTTTTTTTGGGATGCTAGTGATTGTTGTGGGATTTTGGCTTCTAACCTTTTAAGGAATAAGCAGTGGAGCCATTGCAGGTGCACTGTGTGCTCATAAAGTGAATATTGGACCTAAAAAACGTGTTGCAGAAAGGTGATTTTATTTAGGTAAAGAAAAGAGAAGGAAGGGAGAAGAGGAGAAACGCTTCCACGAAGAGTGTGGGAGGGGATTCCAGAGGGGAAATCCGGCTAGGTGTGTGAGCACGGACATTTATCTTGGGAGGAACCCCCACCTTTTCCAAGACCCTGGGCTAATAAAAGGAGTTTCTTAGAACTTCTGCTGGAGTGATTGACTTTTAGTTTCTTCCCACACCTGCGAAATTTAAACATAAACCATTGAATCTCCCGGGTAGAAAGAGATGGGAGGGGGACATGGCGCCAGGGAAATTTTTGCCCTTAAAGCTACACCTGGTTGTAAACCCGGAAAAAAACACATTCCCTCAAGATGATGCCAAAACATCCCTGAGGGTGAACATTTACACTTTTACTGAAAGATCTTTAAGATGTTTTTATAACCTTTGCCAGTAATTCATTTTTACTGGCAAGTTTTTCCTTATATTTGAGACCTTCAGGCGGTAGTCATAAAATGTGAGAGAGATGCAGGTAGTCATAAGAAGTTAATACTGATGGCTTTTCCATTCCATTATCATAAACACATCATATGCTACTTTTATTTTGAAGTAATAACATAGTCAAGTCACTGCATTACATTATGGACAAATTATAATTACCTTACATTTAAGAGAAGTCATCCTTCAGTTGTCTTGTTTGAGTTGTCAATTGAAAAGAAGACATCACAAGACTGACCAAACTCCATCTGACCTTACTGTGAATGATGAATATTATTTTACTCTGAAGCTAACCTTTTAACCTACATGTTCTCAGAGATTGCCTTTGTTAGATGAAATCTTGATTAACATTTGTAGAGCTCAGACTCTGAATTGATTGGTTGTCATTATTTTCTAACAGATCACAAGTAAGTGATAATTAAAGATAGCGTTGCTTTAGGATAAGGATCTGTAGTTACTAAGGTTAAAAGATTTGATGTTACTTTATTGTACATTTGTTTACTTAGAGAAAAAGTCACTTTTTATAAAGACAGTGACTTTTATGTACTTATCCACACATTGTATGTTAATCATGTAATGCATAAATAATAATCAAATCTAGGGCTATATTCTGTGTAAAATGTGGGAATTTTTATTGTCATTCATCCTAGCTTAATAGATTGAGTAACAATATGAACTGTCTAAAGTCACCTAGAGCCCTGCGTTTTTGTGTATAGTAGCTCCCAGAATGTTCCCTTAAGTGACTGTGTGAATGTGCATGTATGTGTAAACTTTGTTTGTTTCTAATCCATATTTGTATATGGCAGTTCCTTCCTCCAAAGTCTATTGCTAAAAAGGCAGAATCAGGGATACATCATTCACTCTTTCTTTGCGCTTAAAAAAACTATAGTGTCCCTTTAAGTCTTTTTAGGGAAACGTAGCTAAACTAGCCAAGATTTGGTGGCAGAAGGGGAATGGTTGCCCTTTCATTCAAAAACCAAAATTCATAAAAGTGACCTACCAGGATGTATATTAGCCACACACACATACCCCCACTCTCCATACCACTCCCCTAGTTCTCCAGCCTCACCTCCTCATCTCCGTACCCCCAGCTTCTACAGATGTCTGTGTGGCTCTGGCTC